AAACAGGTGCCATTCATACAGGTAACGAGTGGGGGACAGAAAAGCTTCTTACAGAAGACGTTACAGGTCTGTGAGAGCCAGAGATTTTCCTTTAATCATTTATTTATTTATTTATTTTAAGTGACAGAGTTACTGCATTATGTAAGCCAGCATATGAACATTAGTTCATTGGACATTTTGGGTATTTTCTAAATGATATAATTACACCGCAAAGTCTCTAGCCCAATACTCTGCCTGTTCATAATGAAACACAAGAGTTCTGACTTCAAAAAACGGTTGAATGAGATCACCAAAATATCATTGTGAAAGGTTGCAGGAACAAAAGAGCATATTATACTATGTGCGTAGTCAGATTTAACTCCAGATCCTCTTACATTTTCTCACACTACCACATGCGTCTATTCACTGGAAGCAGGATACTTACAAACACATGACTCACACTTTACATTTCCCCGTAGGGTTTTTCATTTCCATGTAGGTGCCATCTTTTGCCCCATCTTTTGAATCTGTACGTTTCAATTGGCTCGTCACAGGTACCATCTTTATGACAACCTGGGACAGAGAGAGAGAAAAGAGGAAAGTTAGTGTTTTACTTCTACAATCAGATGAGCACAATTTGTAACGTGAACCATTAGTTTGTTCTGTCCTCTCAGTCCATAAACAAATGCCTGCAAATACAGAGCAAACTGAGCAGGCACTGTTAATAAAAGTGGGGCAAAATTCTCCCATAATACTGACAAAGGTTTATTTCGTGTTTTTATGACTGCAGAGTCCTGTGAAAATTCTTTCAAATGACTGTAAAAATTGTTGTTTTTAGAGCAGTGAGACTATGACAGAGGATCCCAATAATTAAAAAGCCTTCTTTGCCTCAGTTACCTACATGTGTCTGCTGTCACCTTTAAACACTGCAGCCTTAACATTTACCTGCCAAATGCAGTTACATAGGAGGCTTCATATTAACACTAAAAACGAAGAAGATAACAGTGTGGATGTACACTAGCTGTTGTAATAACAGCAATACGATTTACAGTTACTCAAGAACAGACAAAATAAAAATACTACACTTAATAAACAGAAGACTTTCTTAGTCCAAATAACTGGAATACACAGCTCTGACAAGGCCACAGGACTACATGTTGTTTTCTCAGTCAGTGTCTTTTCATTAGTTTTAGTTTTAGTGGCAAAAAAGGTCATTTCTAAATGCTGTGCCAATATTCATGTGGTCAAGAGTCTCAGTTAGCATCCTCTCAAAATGATACTCTGCGGATTATTTGTAAGATACAATATTAAGGCCGTCATAATATACTCATCATGAAAAGAGATCATTTTGGTCAAATTTAAATTTGATCCCCCTTCAGCTTTATCACACATACTGACAGCACACATCACAGTTAATGGAAGATGAGTAG